CTTCCTCATCCTGCTGTAGAAGAAGCCACTCTCCATGGTTCTGCACTTAAGATATAAGTATGTGTCCATAAGTAGTCTGTACTATTATTTTGTGTTTTGGAATCTTGGGAAAAGATGGATATAATGTATGATACATTTAAAAATATATTAACAAAGGTAGCCTGGGTGGCTCAGTCAGTTAAGCATCAGACTTCAGCTCAGGTCATGATCTCACAGTTCAAGCCCTGCATCAGGCTATGTGCTGACAGCTCAGAGCCTGGAGCCTGTTTCAGATTCTGTGTCTCCCTGTCTTTCTGCGCTTCCCCTGCTCGCATTCTGTCTGTCTCTTTCTCAAAAATAAATAAACATTAAAATTAATTAATAAAAAATATATTAACACATGTCCACCCAGTTTATTTTAACTGCTATTTAGTAATCCCTTGGATGAATAAGCCGGTCTGTACCATTTGTCTCCCGGAGACACTTTGTTTCATTTCCTAACTGTTAAGTACAGCACTGCAGTGGAGCATTCCCGGAAGTGAGCCTTCGGCTCAGCTCGGGTACCATCCCAGTCACATCGCTCTCCAGAGAGCTTGAACCACTTGTCCTCAAGACTGTGAGGCTTGTCAGTTCTCCTCGTCCTCACCACCAAAACCGGATCCCAGATTTTTCCATTTTTTCCAAATTATTATTATATTTAATGTTGCATTTCCCTAAAACAAGTGGGATTAAACATCTTTTCATGTTTGTTGCCCTTTTGGATTTCTTCTTCTGAAATTGCCTTTCCACCTGCTTTTTAAGTTGGGTTGATTGTCTTTTTCTGATAAATGTGTAGAGTCTCTTTATGTATTTTGAATACTACCCTTGTTGACTTCAAGGATTCTAAGTACTTTCTCTGGGCTCTTACTTGTGCCTTCATTTATGGTGACATTTGGCACACTGTGGCTTTTGAATTGTAAAGTAAATAAATGTATGTTTTCTCTTAGTTTGTGCTCTCTGATTCATATATAAAAATCCTTCTCCATCCCAGTGTCAAAAACATGTGCCTTCCGTATTTTGTGCAGAGATTTAAAGTTCAGTGAATTATGTTTCCTTAATGCATTGGGAGTTTATGCATGGTGTTGGGAAGAGGGGGTGTGTTTTGTCTCTCTCCCTGTGCCGAGCTCAGCTGGTCCTTCCCCCCAGCTTACCCGTTCCTGCTGTGCGCCACGTGCCCTTCACCAGGGCCTCCAGAGCCTCCTTCAGAGCTCTTGTTCCTTAGGTAGATTGGAGTCGCTCTACGTAAAGACCACATTATTTTAATTACTCCACCTTTATATCAGATCTTGAAATTTGATAAGCCTTATTATGTTTCTTTAAAATTACTTTGGCCATTCTGGATCCTTTCTTTTTTTTTAATTTTAAAATCTTTTTTTGGTGATATGCATATATATAACACACACTAAATGTGCATAAACCATAAATGTCACGAAACCAAACAGATCAGTGTAAAGTGAACACACCTCTGAGACCCACGCCCGCCAGAGTCCCACCAGCCCCTCAAGCCTCTTGGCACCCCTCCCTCCTGTGACTCCTAGGACTGCTGTCCTGGATGTATGGCCGTCCCCTCCTGCTCGCTTCCTGGCTCTCCCCCTCAGTTTATATATAGTTCGGCTCAGTCCCTTTACAAAGGTGGACTCATATAATGTATACATTTTTTTGTCGAGGTTCTTTCTCCCAACATTATGTTTTTAACACTTAAACCTTAAATATTCCAAATGCATATTAGAGCTGGCATTTAAGTTCCAACAAAAAACCCAAATAAGATTTTATTTTGGGGACACTTGAGTGGCTCAATCAGTTAAGCGTCTGACTCAACTCTTGATTTCGGCTGAGGTCATGATCTCACAGTTTGTGTGATCGAGCCCCGTGTCGGGCACCATGTGCTAACAGCAAGGAGCCTGCTTGGGATTATCTCTCTCCCTCTCTTTGCCCCTCCCTCCCATGCTGCTTTTTCTGTCTCTCAAAATAAATCAATAAACTTTTTTAAAAGATTTTCTTTTAAATTATATTGAATTTATATCTTAATTTGGTAAAAAATTACTATATTAACAATTGTGTAAATTCCCATTCATGGATTGATACCTTTATTACTAGGGGTTTTTTTTAATGTGCTTTCTTACATGGTTTTTTAGTTTTTTTTAAAGCAGTTTGCTGTTCTGCAGATAGTTAATTGTTTTTTTCCTTTGTAGGCAGTGTATATTTATCCCCGGATACCTTTAAGGACTTCTTTCTTTGTTTCACTGCAGTGAATCTAGATATAAATTTCCTTTTGTTATCCTTCTTGCGACTCCTACATTTCCAATTTGACATTTGTACTTTATTAATTCGGAAAACTCTTTTAACTATTATCTCTTAAAATAGAGTCCCCCTGTCCCCGTACCCGCTCTGCTGTCTTCTTCTGGACGCTCTGTGAGGGCCTGTCTCTTCTGTGTGGAACCTCGTAGGTGGAACCCCAGGCCTCCCCTCTGGACCGGCTCTGCCCACTTCAGAACTCCTTTCCCTTGTACCCCGCAGAGCTCTCACCTTCTCCCCGTGCAGGAGAGTGAGCATGCGCTGCGCTGGTTGGGGGTACGCGCTGCGCCAGCTGGGAGCAGGAGTCGGGGCTGCGTCCTCTACAGAGTGAAGTAGGGCCCCGTTTCACCCTCGCCTGCCTCTGGTCCCTGAGCCCGTCTCTGCTCGGGCACCTTGCCGGCATTTGGGTTTACCTTTTCTTCCCATATGCCCAGGTAGTTCATAGTTCCTCAGCGTGCTTTCCATTTTGTTTAGTGTGGTTCAGGGTTACAAATGCTTTCTAGTTTCACTGAACGTGGAATTTGTTTTCGTTTTCCATGGAGTTTTGTACCATTTTTTGAGAAAAGTGACATGGAAATTATTTGAAACCAAAGCTCCTCTACCTTCACTCTTCCCTCTGGTCCAATCTGTCTGCGGCGCCTACCGCTGCACCACAGCCTTCCTGGAAGGTCATCAGCGGCCGCATTTTGCCACGTCCAGTGTCGTTTTCCTCCCTGTCCTACTGGAGCGTGGAGGGACTGCGTGGTTCACCAGCTGCTCCCAGCTTGAAACACTGTTCTCTTTGCTTCAGTGGCGCCAAGCCCTCCTGGCTTTCCTCCTGTGCCCCGGCAGCCCTTCTCAGTCACATCACTCGCTTCTCCTACTCGGTCCATCCACAGAATGAATCCTAAGTTCTCTTCGCCCTTTTGTTCATCCCGCACCCTTGCTGTTATCTAGTTCCATTGCTTTAACCTCTAAATCTTTATCTTTGCTAAGTCTTCTCCTAAGTTCCAGGTTTGTCTAACTGCCCAGTCAGTATCACAGCTCAGATTTCTAATAGACGTTCCCAAGCTCACTCCCACATCATATTTGCTGTTTTCACTGCCTGAAATGTGCTTCCTCCAGTCCTTCGAATCACAGGCATCCCATTATCCTGAAGACCTTTGCTCAAATGTTGCTTCCACCAAAGCTTCCCTGACATCTGACCTAAAGATGGTCCCTGCTCCAAGCCACTTTATTTTGTCTCCTTCACAGAATGTATCTGGAATTGTTGTGTTTGCTCATTTACTGCATATTCTCTGTGTTGACCACTGTTACCTCCATAAGATTAGGGTCTTGTTTCCCTTGTCTTCTGCTGTCCTCTGAGTGCCTGGAACAGTCCCTGGTGGGTACTAGATGCTCAACAAATCTTGCCTGATTAATTTATTTAAATTTTATTAAGAAAATATTAAAGTGTATTTTTCTCCTATTAGCACATTATCAGTTATGTTCTAATTTGGTATGAATAATCTCTTATCCTAAGAATCAAATTCACAGAATTGAAGCATTTTTTTTAATTAAAAAAAAATGTTTAATGTTTATTTTTGACACAGAGAAGCAGAGCACGAGCAGAGGAGGAGCAGAGAGAGAGGGAGACAGAATCCAAAGCAGGCTCCAGGCTCTGAGCTGTTAGCACAGAGCCCAATGCAGGGCTCGAACTCACAAACTGTGAGATCATGACCTGAGCTGAAGTTGGACACTTAACTGACTGAGCCGTCCAGGAACCCCTGATTTTTTTTTTTTTTTTTTTTTAACAAAGGAATTGCCATGCTCATTTTAACCTAGAAAACCATAGAGTCTTTAGACATCTATTACCATATAAATTACCTTAAAGATATGAGTTTTGTAGGCTTGGTTGTAAGTAGAATTGTTAATTACCAACTATTGGCAAGGATTTTAAAACTAGGAAAATCAATACCTGAAAAATGTTTTAGAACACTATGTAAATTTTAGATTGTCTTTATTTTCTGATAAATGCTTTTAAATTTTATTTTAGAGAGAGAGCATGTGCAGAAGCTGGGGAGAGGGGAAGAGGGAGGCAGAGAGAGAGAGAGACAGAGACAGAGACAGAGACAGAGAGAATCTTAGGCAGGCTCCACGCTCAGCAATGAGCCTGTTGGGGGGGCCCAATCCCACGACCCTACGATCATGACCTGAGCCAAAATGAAGAGTTAGACACCCAGCCAACTGAGCCACCCAGCCGCCCTGTTTTCTGATAAATGTATTATGTGGCTGGATCACACCAGTAAAGTTGTTTTCTGCCAGTATCTCTCTTCGATGGCCATCTGCCAATAAAAGTAACCACAGTGTTAGTATAGTGTGAAAGTGTTTTGATAATCAGGTCTTATACAGCTTTTTTTTTTTTTTTTTTTTTTAAGAAAATATTGGTTTTTTAAAAATATTTTACCAGTACTTTGAGTGTTACATGGTTAGGATTTTGCCATCTCTTCTAGCTTTAAAATAACAAATTTCTTTACTGAGTAAATGAAATTTTTGTTGGTTTGTACTGCTTATTATTCAGCAACTTGGTAGGGTTTAGGTTATTAACTAACACTGCTAAAATGAAGAGGAATACCATCTGAAATACCTTGTGGTTATTGATTTCTGTGTTAAATATGTTCTTTAAAATTGTTACAGTGAAGCAACCCAGCTGGACTTTCCTCTTTCAGATATCGGGCATCTGCTACCACAGCAAAACGTTTCCAGTTCACCAGGTTCTCTACGTCCCCAGCTGGATGGCAAAGTTTTTTTCTTGGACGCTTGAGCCCATCTTCTCATCTTCGGAACCCACGGCGGAAGCCAGAATCGGGATGGGGGCCACGGTGGACATCCAGAGACAGCAGAGGATGGAGCTGCTGGACCGGCAGCTGATGCTCTCTCAGTTTGCCCAAGTGAGAAGACAGAGGCAGCAGGTGAGGGGCAGGGTGGAATTCACAATGCAGAAACAGTCAGTGGCCAAGGCGCGCTTGCCTCCATGGCTGTCTGTGTGGCAGAGAGGATATTTTACTCCTGCGTGTTGGCAATGTGGATACTTTGACGTTTTCCCAGGTAGGATGTAGGTCTCTGGTAGTGGCTATTCTCAGGGTTTTTTAAAGGTAAAAAAATAAATAAATAAATGGTAGCTGAAAGACCGGTCAAACTGGACATTCTCACTCTACTTCTGTTAGATAAACATTATTTCTTAGAGAAACACCAACCTAGTTAACAAGACGTGATATTTATCTGTTCTTTTAATCTTATAAAAGCCACAATGTCTTCCTGTTAAAGTGCTTATTATCGTGTGCTCTGGAGTGAAGAACACATGTAAAATTTCTTGACTTTCCTTGATTGAAATGGAGAGAATATGGAGGTAAGAAAACTTCAAGGGAACAACCAGTGAATCAAATAAATGCTGTGTTTTCTTAGCCTTGTTATCATTCCTCAGGAAATATTGAGCATTTATCTACAAAAACTGCTGTATTCAAACGCTCTAATAGCACACTTGTCTTTCAAGGGTTGCTATCAGCCAAAACCTTCTACCTGATCTTTCTTTGGCCCTCTGTGAGCCAGCACAGTGAGTGGGCTCTTCATTTCCTGTCTCCTCTGTCTTCTTTACCACCTGGGGTATAAGAGAGGATACTGTTCTCTCCTGCCATCTCCCAGCCCCTGCCTTCACTGGGTGCGAGAATTAGGTCTGCAGGCCTCACTGGTCTGGAGAAGTGAGATCAAGTGGGCATCCGGTGTCCCTTTGGAAATGTCGGTCCCTGAGTCTGTTTCTGGGGTGGAAGAAGGGATCCCTTATTAACAGGCTGAGTCCACTGGTGAAAGAGGGAGGCACAGGTTGTTTCCCAGAGATGTATTTGAACTTGAGATGACTCTGGAGCATACGGCGAAGATACCTGTGATGTAGTTAACTGTGGAGGACAGACCTCCCTTTTGAGAGGTCAGAGCTGGGGGTATAAACCCTGGGGTCAGCTGTGTAGGGTCCGGAGATGAAAGCAAGGAGCTAGATGCATTCTTTGAGAGCCTGATGTCCACGGTGAACACAGGCTCAGCTTTGTAACCAACAAGGGGAGGAGCTGGATCCTTCCAGGAAACAGAAGGAAGAATGAAATGTAGGAAAACTGAGAATAATCAGGGTCCCAAAAATGAGGTCACTGAATACAAATATTTTCCAGGCAGAATGGACAGAGCTGTGAGGGAGGGAAAGAGATAGGATACGATTTTGAGGGTACAATTCTAAGGTTTTTGGCCTCGGTAATGGGGTGTAATAGATCAACGACAGCCCTATGTCACCAATGTCTGAAGAGCAGATTTGGGGGAAATAGACTGACCGAGGTGCCTTCAGAATGCCTGGACACCCCATTAGGTCGCTGTGGGCCCTGTGCTCACGAGCAAGTTGGGCAAGTTGGGTCACTCCGCCAGGTGCCCCCAGGCACATTTTTGTGCGTGAAGTATCCCAAACAACAGTGTCCGGATCAGCATCTTTTGGGGGAAAGGTGGTGAAGAACACAGGGCGGCTGAACAGCAGTTACAAAGAAGGTCTGAGCCCGCCTCACGGGGAGCTGTGGAAAGGAGGAGCCCTGGATTCATCCAGGGAGCTGACATGGGAGACCTCCCCCGGTCAGTCACTGGGTGCAGATTGCAGGTCTCGGGCCAGCTGCTCTCAGATGCACTCCATCCACAGAGGGGGCAGCCCCGGAGAGGTGTCACCTGCCGGCACCCCCACAGCAGGAAGGTGGGGCACTTCAGTCCTGGGGGAGGCGTAGGGCTGGGGCAGAATATCCACCCCCAGTGCTGCTTGCATCGTCCGTAAGTTCTGGGAGCAGCTCCTCCCCGATTCCTGTGGCGCTCTTCTCCCAGGAGAAACCTTCAAGAGGAAGGTTAACAGGACCCACTTCACCACTTCTGCTGGAGCTGGTCCCAGGCCACACCGGCCATCATCTCTCCCCACTACTTGCCAGTCCACTCTCAGCCGGAAGGCGCACTTGGTGAAGTGACACAGAGCCTCGTCCTTGTGGGGTCTGAGTCTCCGTCAGCATGCCTTTATCAGGCTGTGTCTGCAGCCCTTGTCCATCTATTTGCAGTAAAACCTGGGGCAAGGGAGTACCAAGCGATGGCCTAGTGCAGCACCAAGGAGTACCAAGTGACATCTTGGTGCAGCACCTGGGAGTACCAAGTGATGTTCTGGTGCTGCACGTATTTTTCCCTCCTACTTTTTGTCCCCCTGCCTGTACCTTTTCCTGAGGATTAGAGCTAATTAATCCTGCCATGGTGATGATCTCTTTCCTCGCCTGCTGGTCTTTTGGCATATTGTGGTGCACTCTCTAAACCCACGGAGTCTAGAGTTTCCGGGGCAGGAAGCCGGGTCACTGGTTAAGAGGGTATTCACGGTCTAGTCCCCTCCTGCCTCTTACTTCCAAGATCTACCTGTTGGGGGTGCAGCTCCCAGATAACAGTTGTTGATTTAAGGTCTGCACTGGATGCTCGGGCCGAGAGTGCCGTCCTCACGGGCATCCTCTCCAAACTGGCATTTCACTTGCACCGTCCACTGGTTGTCTCATTGACCTAGCCAGCTGGCAGCTCCCAGGTCGTATGATACACGAGAGGGTCCCTGCATCCTGTGTTCTTTTTGCTGCTGTGCATATGTTGTAGTAAGAGGCCTTGTGGTCTGATGCGATGTTTGTTGGAACCCCGGTCAGTAGATGAAACTTCTGTAAACCCACAGATAGTGATGCTGGTTGACAGAAAAGGGAGACAGACCCATAAGCAGAATATGTGTCAATTTCAGTCAAGATTTGCTGTCTTCATTATGGTTGCTCAGGCTGCCATAGCCGAGTACCACCGACTGAGTGGTTGAAACAACAGACATTTTTTTCTTATTGTTCTGGAGGTAGAAGTCCAAGGACAAGGTGCTGTCAAGGTTGGTATTTGGAGAGGACTCTCTCTGGCTTGCAGATGACAACCTTCCCATTCCGTCATCATGTGACCTTTCCCCAGAGTATGCATGCTCCTGGCGTCTCTTCTTATGAGGATGTGAGTCCTGTTGCATCAAGGTCCATCCTTAGGACCTCATTTAACCTTAATTACCCTATCTCCAAATACAGTCACATTGGGGGTTAGGAACTTCAACTGTGAATTTGGGGGTGGGCACATTCCAGAGTGAAGGGCCCGATGCGGTCAGTATCACCCTGACTATTGCTTCTCCTCGAGGGAAGGGGGTGTATGAGGGCTCAATGTGGGCCTCTGTTGCCGTCGGTAGCTGATTCTCCCTTGAAGCAGGGCAGGGCCCCTGTCTCTGCCCTCATGGTACCAGCATTGGATGGCCAATGATAGAGGCTGACTCGTGTCTGTTGTCTGAGCCACTCTGCCCCCTCTCTTTGGGTAGAGGGTTCTGACAGGTAAGACCCCAGCATTGTATGGACTGCTTGTCTCAGTGGACTCCTTTCTATTTCTTTTGCCATGTTCTGTCATATTTCCTCTTGCGGCCTGGCAGCAGCTTCGTACTGTCTGTCACCTGCCCCCTGCGGGCCCCCGTAGGCTCTAGGGTCACAGTCAGTCATTACTGGAAACTGAGCAAGACTGGTGGGTACTCGGTGGGCACAAGAGAATTGAAAAACATGTCCTTTGCCTTCATGAATTTGTGATCAACTTGAAGGGGCTCGGGCAGACAGACTGAATGAGCTAACACCCAGGAGCAATGGAACACTGGCCCGAGTGCCCAGAGCGGTAAGCTATCTGAGAAGAAGCGCCGTCAGCACAGCCCAAGACTGCGTGGGTTCAGGGCCCGAAAGGATCGGCATAGTTGGGTGGGCTGATGTGAGGCAGGTTATCCCCTGAGCAGAGGACCGGTGAGAGTGGTGCAGGCATGCACACGGTAGCGGCCCCCTCACTGGAGCATGGAGGGCACAGAGTGAGAAGTGGGAAGTCACACTGCACCTGTAACAGAGGGAGCGGTGTTTATAGCTGACCACAGATTTGGGTTTTGACATAGGAGGCTGTGAAAAGCGGTTTAGCCAGTAGTAAAGGTAGACCATGTTCTAGAAAAATCCATCTTATTGCAGTGTGTCAGTGGAAGGGAGAAAGAGGAGAGCAGGGAGGAGGGACAGATAGGAGGTCATCTTGAAATCCAGCTCTCAGCTGTGTGAGCGCCGTGGCCAGGATGCAGGTAGTCTCATTGAGCTCTGCTGGCTCCCTCCTGTTGCCCAAGGCTCAGCCATCCCAGTAGGGGACCCTCCTGTCCACCCCACTAAGCTCCAGCTGCCAGATCTAGATCAGGACCAGACTCCTACCTCCTGGGCTCCACACCTAAACCTCCCACTGCCTACTGGGCACTGCCTCTTGCATGCTCCACAGGCACCTGACGCTTTCCATTTCTTTGCCAAACTGGCTTCTCCTCCTCACTCGCTCCCCTCATGGAGAGCACCACCACCTGCCCAAAGACCCGAGCCAGGACATCTGGCTTCAGCCAAGAGAAGGAAAGCTATCACTCCCTGTCTGCACCCCACCTGGAGCCTTGCCACGACCACTTCCCTGTCCCCACCTGGACCCCCCGACTCGTCCCTCAGAGTGGTCTTTGATGGCACAGATCTGACCATTTCACTCTACCCAACTCCTTCAGAAGCACTTTGTGGCATTCAAGGTCACTAACACTCATTACCCAGAGCCCTTCCTGCATTTCAGCCACGTGGCCTCCCCTGGCCCAACGCACAGCCGTAGGCTAACCTTACCCAGCTGCTTGTGCTGCATGTCACTGGCCGCCTTCACTCCTGTCCCTAGCTCTGCCTCCAGCAGATGTCCTGTGCCAACTTCCCCGCCCCCAGCACACACACAGGGCTGCCTGCCTAACTCCTTTCACCCCCATGTCCCCTTCAGGTCTCCCCTCCCCTGAGAAGCCTGTCGAGCCTCCCCGGTGGGCTCTGATTCTCCTCTC